AATTAAGTTTACCAAATAAAATAACTGTCACGGATCGGATGATGGTGAAATTTGGACCTAATTTAATATGAAATTTTAGAATTTTTTTATGGTGTATTATTCTAGCTTTTTTTTAGTGATAGGTTATAATTTAGGGTTAGAGTTGCTTAGAAAAGAGTATAAGTAGATGTCAGTGGGGTTTATATTTTCAAAAGGAGACCCAAATTTCACCATTCACGATCATCCGCGACAATAACTATTACCTTTTGTTTCGGGCCAAGTTGTCTCTATTAGTCTCCAATCCCATGGCTAACACCTAACAAATTAGTGTGTCTAATTTCAGCCAACTAATGTATCAGTATGTTATTGTTATGTGTATTTAATTAATTTTGTATTGTATTATTGAATTCAAAATGCATAAAAAAATCATTAGAATTTATGAGACGAGTTTTAAATATTTAGCGTATTGTTTCCTAACTATAAATATTAATTCAAATGAAAAAGGTCACAAATCTTTAAAATGTTTTTTTACCATTACGACAAAAAACAACCAAAATTTAATCAATTCAATAGAAACGAAATCATTGAAATCATAAACTATGTTATCGGAGATATCGATCAGTCAACACTGGAAAAAATTAATGAAACAGTAGCCTTGCCTATTGATCAACTTATTGCACCAAGTATAAATCGAAGAGGACGTCAAATTCCAAGACCCCAAAATAGTTTTGTATTATATAGAAGGAATTTAAATGCAGTTATTAATAACAGAAACGATATAAAAAGTGAATTTAATTTTATTTCAAAAGAAGCAAGCATAAATTGGTCAAAAGAAAGTAATGAGGTTAAACAACTTTACGAACTACTAGCAGATTACGCAAAGCAAGTCCATAATTTATTGTATCCTGATTACAGTTATAAGCCAAAGCGTAAGAATTGCTTTAAAATACAATTGTTTCCTCTGATTAGGGTTGGCTCTCGAAAAAAAAAATCATGTGTCCCGGCCCTACCTCCTCTTATTTATTATGTTGATAGAAATTTCACAAACTATGATAAAAATATATGGTGTTTAGTTGATAAACACCTGATAAATAATTTTGATTTTTTCATTCAATCAAGTCTTTATTCAAGAGCCGTAGGAATGAAATAACTTTCAGTTCAATTCTTTGTTCCTAAAAAACTTTATCATCATAAATTCAGCCAATATTATTATGATTATGAATTACTTATCGTTAATTATGTTAATAAATTAATAGAGTCTTGTCTACCAAACAGACTTTTTTTAGCATCATTATGATTTGAAAAACTAGCGGTATCATTACTCGTGCCAAATCCCGTGCCGATTCGACTAATAAACTGCTGCAAAACCCGACAATTATTTTATTATTTTACTTTTTCGTCCTTTGCAAAAATACTTTATCAGATAACCAAATCTCAAGATTATCCATTTTTGCCTCATAATGCTTTCCAAATATCTTAGCAGCAAATCGACTAATAGTTAACGTAAAACCTTTATAGCACGTGAAGACTTTGATTTTTGTATTAAGGCTTTACATAGATCCAGCAAATGTAAAAAAAACGACTATGAAATTTTGACCCAATTACCACTTAATCAATTTAGTTAACAATAAACTTAGTTTATTGTAAAATAGTTTTGTACATATTTTTTTAGTTATATCGTGAAATAATCTTAGAGAAGCTAATTTAAAATATAAATAAGTTATAAAACAAATAAATTCTTAATTTAATTAGCTTACAACATAGTTTTTGTATTTAATTAATAGTCGGTTTATATTGTTTAATCAATAGTAAAATTTTTCAATAGATTACGTAAATTTTATGATTGGCTACATTTTTGTTATGATCTCGAATTTCCATTTTAATCAAATACACTCTAAATTCTGTGATTGGGCGAAATAATTTAGGTAATGCAACCGTAAACTAAGTTAATAAAATTCGGCATAATAATGATAAGCTAATCTAAAATATATATCTGTTTATTAAAGACTGATCAGGTAAGAATCTATGTGAATATATTAACTGGATCTATAATAGAGAAACGAAGATTAAAATGGTAGTTGACCGAACACCCCAACTGGCATTGGCGTTATTTAGAATATGATCGAAATTCTTGCTTGTTATTTCGCGACAAATACGGTAAAGTATTTATTATAGCTGAAGGTTCGCTCTTTTTATAACCACCCTACAAAGTTTATAATTTATATTAAAACCAAATTTTTATCAAATTTATTACAAATTAACCGTGGGTCCACATATTCATTAATAAATTCCAGTAACTTTGAACTTTCTGTCACGCATGTGACAGAATTTCAAAGTTACCTTTTTAATGTTATTATTAAACTATATAATGTTGCTAGCCGCAGGGATGGTAAAATTTGCCTTTTTTCAAATGCCTAAGTCATTTCGGACTAAAATTTATAATAAATTGGGTTATTTGAAGGTCATTTACCATTCCTGGTTAGCCGTAGTGATGAAATATGTGAAGTGTAATACTTAATTGTACAGCCATAAAATCAACAATAAAAAGTGCAAAGCCCTGATTCTGAAGAATTGTTTATATTAAAGAAATGTGTCATGACAACTCCGTCTTAACTTACCGAAACTGAGAAGGTGGAAGACATTCATATTTACGCAAGCAATACGATGTTATAGGAGGAGAGTGTTGGAGTGGGCTGTTTATTCTCTCTATATTAAGAGAAATAGAATCTCATCAAGATAATGTTTTATCTTCTCTATGTCTTAAAAATAATTGTTGAAAAGTATTAAGAAATGCTCTAAATGCTTTCGGAAGAATAGAAGAGAATTAAGAGGTTAGAATATATTATTTATTGTTAATTTGCAATATTGGGCCTTATAAATTGTTTCCAAATCATTATTAATCTAAAATAACATTTAATCCTAATACCTTACACTAGATACTGTATTTATAATGTTACGGCGATGAAAAACCTTTTTATGAATATTTCTTTAAAAATTAACTGAAAGATTTTACTTAAAATTTGAATCACTAGAACCTT